CCATTTGATTTTGTGATTTGGTGTGTTTGCTAACAGGTTTTTGAAAGACGATTCGTATAATATATCGTATTAAAAACATAATTAGAGTCTTCTCAAAATTCATTAATCAAAAAAGCTGGATTAAACTAAATTGTTTATTTCGTTACTATGACTACGTGACATTTTGAGAGGGTTCACAGTAACTATTTAATTCACAGTAACAATTAAAGAGGAAGATAATCAATTTGGCTGCCATTTTTGATGAAATCGCCTTCTGAAAGTAAAGAAAATAAAAGCAAAACCAATTTGGCAGAAGATTAGAAACACAATTCAAATATGAAACTGACAACTTCGTCACTTGGACTGGCAATTTTAACATTTTAACTCTTACCTTGAAAAGTCGATATTACTCACAATGTAAAACAAGTTCGGGGTCGCAGATGTTTTTCTGATGTGTTTACGAGTTAATATTGAGTTTAGTTGATCTATTTTGTTTGAAAAACAGTTTTTTTGCTTAGAAATGTGACTTTTTTTAATGTTGTGTATTTACTTTGGTGACACCTGGTGTTCGTTTTTGCCACATTATTTCCTTTTATACCTTTTCTCATTAAAGCTACATTGTAGGTTTACAGCAATGTTTGCAACAAAATTTCATTCCTCTTTTTATATTTTTCATGAGTGAAAACTAATCAATCTGTTGATTAAATCGTTCTTCTAATCACTCAACTAATTGTTATTATTTGTCTTATTTATCTTTGTGAATTGTTCTTTGTGGAAATTCAGTAAAAATAATGGGTGTAGTGTTTATTATCACATTTTAATTGTTTTTATGCTTCCATCTGTTTCAACCGTCCCATCATAACCATCAGTAAACCTGTCATAACCTTTATCATCAAGCAAATTTTAAAACATGAATCTACTATAATGAACAGAGAAAGGATCTCTATTTCTATGGTGTCTTCGATAGTCAAGAAAATATTTTTATTTATTTTTTTATTAAATTATCATGATTGTGATCCAGTTGAAAGATCGGATGCCTTGAATCTAGTCAACCAGTACAACAGTGAAAACTCTATCGATCTAGGTTCTAAGGAGCTGCGACAGACCAAATCGGTGAAAAAAAGTTTAAATAATTTTAATTACAACCTTACATATGGATGGCCGGTTATTGGTGCTCAACTGGGTCAAATCAGTGCAGTTGACATTGATCTTGAAGGCAATATTGTTATCTTTCATAGAGGATCTCATAAATGGAATGACCTGTAAATAATTCATTTTTAACGTTACAATAACTTAAAAGATTGTTGGTTACTCATTTTTATTTCTTTCACTTTTTTATAGGAGTTTTAATAATCTTAATAATCATTACCAGCAAATTGCGGATGGACCCATTCCCATCGCCACTGTAATAGCCATTGATCCCAAAACAAGAAAGCTTGTCTACAGCTGGGGCGCTAATCTTTTTTACCTACCTCATGGCTTAACCTTTGATACCAAAGGATATGTTTGGTTGACTGATGTTGCACTCCATCAAGTGTTCAAATTCGTCGCTAAAGGTTCAGATAAGCCTGAAATGGCGTTAGGTGAAGCATTTGTTCCAGGAAACGACGATAAACATTTTTGCAAGCCAACTAGTGTAGCAATAGATTCGAGAAGTGGAGATTTTTATGTTGCTGACGGTTATTGTAACTCAAGGGTCATTAGATTTAACAGTGAAGGCAAGCTTCTGAATCAGTGGGGTCAGCCTGAATCAGGTAAATAACCAAGAAAAAATTATTTACCATTCCAAACTTCAATCTACCAAATTCATTGTTTAACTATTTTTATTTTCTTTCAGCTGCACCCACTCCTTCTGTTAATACTTTTAATATTGTACATAAAGTTGTACTTATCGAAGAGTCAAACACTGTCTGTGTTGCTGATCGAGAACACGGAAGGATTCAATGTTTTAAATCACCATTAGGTGAATTCATATTTAGTATATCTATCAATGAGTTTTCTGGTCGACTTTTCTCCATTTCTTACTCACCTTTTGGAGGAGGTATTTTATTTGCTGTGAATGGTGGAAGTTATTTTAATCCTGAAGCACCAATCAAGGGTTTCCTATTCAACTTAACAACCCGTGAACTTTTGACTTCTTTTGGGGTAAGCTAATAAAATCATCACTTTACAATTAAATAACCCCTAGAATTGTATTTTTTTCACAAAACACTTTTTCTTTCAACCACTTTTAGCATCTTTCCAAGTACCAGTGATTCCTCTTTTTTGTGTTCAAGCTATTATTTTAAAGATTCAACTTAAACTTACTGCCAAGATGTCCCTAAAAAACTTTATGCGTTTATAGTTTTTTTCTGATCATTTCAAAGTTTAGATCATGTCTTTTAAACCGGTAGTCTTTATTACACTCGGTTTGTCAACTGTGGTATAATACAATGCGTCTATTGATAGTTTTTATGTGTATCACAGTGTAAAATCTTGCCAAGGTATTTTAAACTATTAAAAAATTAGACAAAGACGTTAGTGATTTAACGTTGCAGCCTAGCTGAAAGCTAGTGATAATTTTTCATAGATGTGATAAATATTTATCAATTTATTTATTCACAAGTATTCATGAATTCTTCCAATTCATAATTGATTGTTATTTAGCATTAGCCTAATAAAATTCAATAATGAAAGCTTTTTATCAAGTCGATCAGTTTCCTATCAGATATGTGATTTTCTTTTATTATGTGTTTCATTGTCATGAACTAATTTCATCCTCTACTACTCCCATCATTTCACAAAAATTCATTGCTTTCAGATTTTATTTTATTCTGAGTCTGAAACTTTTTTATTCTTGCGTGAAGATCTTTAAAGCTTACTAATTAAACTTTACATCTATTTCAGGATTTCAAGCAACCCCATGACATCGTTGCTTCTAAAGATGCTAAAAGTGTATATATTGTCGAAATTGGACCAAATTGTCTTTGGAGATTCGAAAAAGGTTTGTTCAAATTAGACTGTCGAATAATATTAAGTACTTTTTGATATAATTTAATTTTTTCAACTTTTATCCAGTAAGTTGAGGCATTGAATATTTGCGGATCGTTGACAAAGATTTATTGTTACAAAAAGCTTTTATTCCTTTTAAAAGTTAGCTTTAGCTCAAAATATTCATTTTCAAAGTTGATGATCAACAAGTACTATTTTATTAATATATGCACATATCTAATTGTTTAGGTTATTGGTGCAAGTCTCAATCACATTTCATTTCTGTTCTTGTCATATTCAAGTTAATAATGTAAATTATTTTCATTCCAGAAGTGCCTATCGGATCCCCAATTTTATCACAAAATTCTGATGGAGCAACTGGGACTAAATTATCGTTGCCGTTGAAGAATTCGAGTAACTTAAACATAGCGCGTACTTTTATTCTTAAATCACAACTCATTCCAGCGAAGATTGCATCTTTATCAAGTTCTCCAGCTCTACTTTTGGTGCTTGTCCCTTTAATAATATCAGTCATTATAATTATTTTAATTGTTCGTCGCAGAACCTCTCGACTTAGTAGCTATTCGCCATTGCAGGAAATCAAAGGATGGGTGACGGGCTACAAAGCTACAAAGAACGAGCTAAACCTTGGTAGGATTTTACATGATCCTAAAAGATCTGGATTTAATCAATTAGCTATGGATGAGAGTGATAATGAAGCAGAACTAATCAATGGGGATATTCACAGTGAATCTGAAGTTGAAGAGTTCAATGTTAGTTCTATTCGTAAAATTTAAACCAAAATCATCAAAAATATATAACTTCTTTATGTATTATGATATGGTATGAATCACACAATTATTATAGCAGTTTTACTCTGATTCAATTATATTTGGATGCCAACAAAAAGCTGATGAAATTGGTTCTCTAAATGTACTCATCCATCTTTTTGCAACATCGAAATTTCCTTCTCAGGAAGTTGTTTTTTATCAGTTTTTTACTATCATTTATCTCCATGGAACAAATTGACGTCAAAAAAGTGAAAAACACTGACTGCAGTTACAATTGTTTTCAAGATTTTAAAAGATTCCGGACGACTGACCACCAAACGTATTTAAAACAAAAGAAAGAAATTTATAATAAAACATGAATATATTTAAATTAATTTATATTTTCTTGACCTTTTCAATATTTCAATTTCAATTCGCTATTTTATCAGTTATTGATATTTTCAGACATGATTTCAGTCATGACTGATCTTGTCAATATTATGTTTATTTATTCCATTTACTCCAATAGCTACGTAGTTCGGGGTAAACGGATAAAAAAATTTTACTTGTACTAATCGATATTCGTTTGGATCAAAATCTAACTGACGGACTAAAATTTCAACACCCTCTTTGGGTGAACCTTTGAAGAAAGGCCAAGTTTCCTGTGAAAGGCATTTGTACCGTTGTAGGAAAACAGACTCCGTCAAAAGGCAAAACCAAATGACCAACCGTTCTACTTGATTAGTATAATCAAGTAGTAATCATTATATTAGTAACTAATAATCATTACTATCGTTTCCTTTCGAGTTGAGAGTAGGGACTTAAGTAAGATAAAACTGCTAGTTGTTAGTTGAAGTTAGAGCTTTTGGTTGCAGATTAACTGGTCAAGAATGGGACTTTAAAGTAGCTTAAAATCAATTTGCCTTTTGAATTTTTGCTGCCAAGAAATTTGTTCAAATTTGTTAACTCAAACCTTTTCGAGTAATTTCGGGGAACGATTTGCTCAAATTAAGATAATGGAATAAGAAGAGATTTGAAAACTTGGTGGTTTTGTAAAGTCTTAAAAATACCGATCGATGTTGCGATTGATATTAAAGGCCGCATTAAGATGTTGACTCAAACACAGCAAAAGCTTAACCCTTTGTAGTCTTTAACCTGATTTTTTCTCAAACCAAGGTTAAATTAGACCAGTTGGAGGTCAGAATCATGGTTCGAAGGTTACAAATCGAAAGAGTTAAAGTGAAAGTTAACTCGTTCATCTCTTAACTAGGATAGTTTGTTAGTTTTATTCACTTGGTTATTGGTTGCATCTGATATTTAAGGGTTGGCCTAAGATGATAGGAAATAACCTTATGTTGTCTGACTTATGATTTGGATGTAACCCGTTATAATAGTTTCCCATAACCTTATACCTTTAACCCTTACCCTTGGCCTTGATCAGGTTTTCTCACAAATGTATCAACATACAAAGGCTGAAATACTTTCACTCTTTCATTTTTATTAAAGATATTGCTTTTTATTATGAAAATACATAAATCACACAAAATTTAAATCAATAATATTTGAAACAATGTAATTAGCATTTGTAAAAAGATTGATTAAACTCAGCTTTGCAAAATTATTCATAATAAATTGGGGAACAATTTCGTTTGTTTCTGAATTGAAAGTGATCAAGAATATGAGTTGATTGTCTTTGTAAATATTAAAACAATATGAACAAGGAGTAAGGACCATTCCAATTAATTGAAAAACAAAAAAGGAGCCTGCAATGGTCCAACCTGATTGAATATTATGGAGTTATTGAAGAAGATACTTTTTAATACATCGGTTTTCAACCCTTTGGAACCTTTAACCTGATTTTCTCGTCAACCAAGGTTAGATGAGCCTTTTTGGAGGTCAGAATCATGGTTCGAAGGTTACGAATCGAAAGAGTTAAAGGGAAAGTTAACTCGTTCAGCTCTTGACTAGGATAGTTTTAGTTTGATTCATTCAGTTATTGGTTGAATCTGATATTTGAAGGTGGGCCTAAGATAATAGGAAATAGCCTTATGTTACCTTACATATGATTTGGTTGTAATCCGTTATAATAATTTCCCATAACCTTATACCTTTAACCCTTACCCTTAACCTTGATCAGGTTCTCACAAATGTATCAACATAAGGCTGAACCTATGAATTGTTGTTTTAGCATTCGAACGTGTATTTTAATCAAATTTATTGTTTGTATTTATCATCTTCAAACTGAGTTTAGCTCATAAAATTCATTTTACACAAACTGTAATGTTTCCGTCAATTTGAGTAAACATTCAATTAACTATGCCAATCCTGTTGATTCTGCTGATCAAATCATTTGTTAATTGCCATTTACCTTTTACGGTTTATTCAGCTTGCAATGTTCAAAATTGACTTTTAATTGCTCTTACACTTACAACTCTTATCTCACTTCCATTTTTACATGTGAAATTTGATCGCATATTTGACTGCTACTGAACATTAATAATCAACAAATCATTTAAATTAAACAAATAGATGTTCATAGCAACAACACTCTTCAGATAATGAATTATGAATTAAAGTATCCAGTTTTTAATCCAAGTAAGTCGTTAGTGTTTTTATTTCATTATAATCAATGTTACATATTCAGTTTATTTGATGATAGGGGTCAAATAACCAGTACTAATCAAACCACACCTGTGTGTACCAACCAAATCACCTTAATTGCATATTCAATGCCGTAATAGATCAGCTACAAAATGGATCTAGACGCCATTAATTCGGAACTGTTTAAGCAAACGATGGTATTGATCCAGGAACGTATTTACCCAAAGATGCCAAGCTATTTGCCTACAAGAAAGTAAGAAAGATTTATTTAACTTGGTCATTATAATCCTTTTTGTCCATTGATTCTTATCTCTTTTTAGAGACTGTTTCAGATTAAATGTTATATAACTTGTTGATTATCAATATTTACCTCGCATCTTTTGATGAAAATATCCTGAGCAGATGCAATATCTGCTTGGTTGGAAGCCCAGACTTTTTGTGCACTTTCTTGAAGAGCTCTACCAAAACAGAAGGTTAAAGCCCATGGCTTGGGTCCTGGAGCTTGGTTGATGGCATTCAAATTTACTGAACTTTCTTCTTCTGTCTGTCCTCCGGATAAAAAGCCAACACCAGCAAGAGCTGGAGGAACAGTTCGAGATAAAGCCCACACAGTTGCGATTGCAGCTCTTTCAGTAGATACCTTTTCGTTACATGCTCTTCCCGGCAAAACCATGTTAGTCTTAAGAATAACTGCTTCCAAGTGAACATGATGATCATTAAGAGCTTTGAATGTGGCTGCCCAAACCTCTTCCATAACTTTCTGACATCGAGCCAAGTTGAATGTGCCTTGAATTGATACATCAGGTTCAACAATTGGGACCAAACCAGCTTGTTGAGACAACAAAGCATATCTGGCTAAGGTCTTGGCGTTTTCTTCAATTGCTAAAGTTGAAGGTGTATTCTCGGTTATATTGAAAGCAGCTCTCCATTTTGCAAATCTGATTCCCATTCTGTAATAATTTTGACTTCGAACAAGTAAATCGTCCAAACCTTGAGTCAAAGTTTCACCAGCAATACCATGTAACTCAACCAAGCCTCGATCAGCTTGAATACCTGGTAAAATGCCTTTGGAAAGAAGATATTCTGGAAAAGGTATTCCATCATCGGTTTTGAAATGAGCGGTTTCATCATAAAGAATAGCGCCACTGACATATTTTTCAATTCCTGGAGCTGTGAATAATAATTGTCGATAAACACGGCGACTTTCTTGTCCAGGAACTATACCAAGTCCGGAAAATCGTTGATCAATTGAATCTGAAAAACGAGAAAGAAAGTAAATGACATTTAAAAACAGTTGACTGGTTATCTTATATTCTGGTATTGAGTCAGCGTTTGAATTTAGGTTTATTAGTTAATTTATTTTCAAGCCTCTAACGGTTTCAGGAAATCAACACTTTGTACGTATTATTTCACTCGGCATATAATTCACAATAATAATTCACCTCACTATCGATCCAATCAAGGAATAGCCTAAAAATAAATATCACAATCTACAATTACAATTATCAGTAATTGATTTTTTCTTCTATTTCTGACTCTTTCAAGACTGTTAAAAAAGATTTCAAACTTACCAGGTAAATCATCGGTTGCCAAAATACCTTTCCCTGGAGTTACCAACTGCAAAGCTGTGTGAGCAATTTGTTGTCTCAATTTTTCTGGTAGATAATCAAATTTGCCCGCCATTTTTGATGAAATCACCTCTGCAAGTAAATAAAGTAAAAGCAAAACCAATTTGGGAGAAGATTAGAAACACAATTCAAATATGAAAAATGACAACTTCGTCACTTGGACTGGCAATTTTAACATTTTAACTCTTACCTTGAAAAGTCGATATTACTCACAATGTAAAACAAGTTTGAAGCTTTTTCTAACCTTTCCTGTGGATGATTCGCAATGCTGGTTAAACTTGGTAAACTGGTAAAGTAAGCTGAAATGAAGGTAAACACATAAAAAATATTAATCACTTTGACTTTTCCACACCTTCTTTTCTAATTCCATTGAATATTTCTTTTTTTCACGAGTTTTTATCGTGTTCTCCTCCTTCTCCTCTTCCTTTGCTTTACCAGTTAACCATCAACTTGATCCATTGCTGAAGATTTAGATTATCTGGACAAGTAACCATGGATACACATTACATAAGACATAGGACGTCTGGATTTAGGGAAAAATTTGAAGTTAAATTGATCTCCTTCTGTGAGTGCAAGCTCCTTGAGTGATTTACAAGCAATTTTAATTATATCTTTACTGATAACTGTACCGTTGCTATTTCTTTTTAGGCTTAAAGGCTAATTTAATACCAACTCAGGATACTTATTAATCCAGTCAATGTTATCTGAACAGAATTTATTGATTTGATTGTTCATAAAAACGGTTGTAACCAAACCATAGACTTCATAAACATATTGATACATTGATTAAAATAAACCCTATTGCTGTAAAAATTGTATTTACCCAAAGGAAAATTGCTTGCCACTAATTGTAGAGATCAAATCTAAGCATACATAAATCTTTACATCACTCAATTTTGATTTTTATTCTGTTTAATCAAACAAATCAGCTGACAGTTACATTTATTACCTTTATGTTCGTCATTCATTAGCTTCAACTTCTGATTACTATACATTGTAGTTATTAACCAAACAGTTTACTCTAAAGCCTCTATAAAGACTCAAAATAACCCTTTGGAGCCTTTAACCTATTTATTTCCCAAAACCAAGGTTAGATGAGAATGTTTGGAGGTCAGAATCATGGTTTGAAGGTTACAAATCGAAAGAGTTAAAAGTGAAAGTTAACTCGTTCATCTCTAGGATAGTTTGTTAGTTTGATTCACTCAGTTATTGGTTGAATCTGGTGTTTAAAGGCTGACCTAAGATGCTTCGGATAACCTTATGTTGTCTAACATATGATTTTGTTGTAACCCGTTATAATAGTTTCCCATAACCTTATACCTTTAACCCTTACCCTTAACCTTGATCAAGTTCTCACAAATGTATCAACATAAGGCTAAACCTTTCACTCTTAAAGATCGTATTAAAGATGTAGCTTTTTGTTATGAAAAGACATAAATCGCACAAAATTTAAGTTAATAATGTTTGAAACAATGAAATTAGCATTTTGTAAAAAGAATCTTTTACTCGTCTTTTAAAAATTATTCATGATAAAATTAAAGAACAATTTCATTTGCCTTTTGATCGATGGTAATTAAGATTATGAGTTGATTGTCTTTGAAAACATTAAAACAATGTAAACATGGCCTAAAGATCATCATCAATTAATTGGAGAATGAAAAAATAATTAGTTAACGAGCTTTTAACGACCCAGGAACAAATCCGAGTGAAGCATATTGAGTGGACTGTATACAGTTATTGAAGAAGATACTTTTTAATACATCGGTTTTCAACCCTTTGGAGCCTTAAACCTGATTTATTTCCCAAACCAAGGTTAGATGAGTCTGTTTGGAGGTCAGAATCATGGTTCGAAGGTTACAAATCGAAAGAGTTAAAGGGAAAGTTAACTCGTTCAGCTCTTGACTAGGATAGTTTGTTAGTTTGATTCACTCAGTTATTGGTTGAATCTGATATTTAAAGGTTGGTCTAAGATGATAGGAAATAACCTTATGTTACCTTACATATGATTTGGTTGTAACCCATTTTAATAGCTTCCCATGGATAACCTTATACCTTTAACCCTTACCCTTAACCTTGATCAGCTTTTCTCACAAATGTATCAACATAAGGCTAAACCTTTCACTCTTAGTTACTCTTTCAGTTCGCATTCAATCTGAAGCTCTTTATTATTAAAGTACTTAGGGTTTCACTAAAAAACCATAAAACAACCAAAATGGATCAAGCCAATGTAAAGGACTTCAGACGGGACCGGCTTTTTTCCAACACTTTATCCACCACATTTTTACCGTCTTTTCACCGTATTGTCCACCATATTAACCACCACCCAATCTAACACATCAACCAAAGCAAACATCATCACTTTTTGAAGATACTTTTCTCAACAAAATTGTCCACCACTTTAGAGTGACTTTTTTTCCACCACATTTTCAAACAATTTTTTATAAGATTATCCACCGTTATCCAAAAATTCATCCGTCGACAGCCTCCGAGAAAATCAAGGTTAAAGTTGGAACCGCGATCGCCTTTTGTACAGTTATACCCATGAGCTTTATCGGTGAAAAATTAGTTTCTGGTTTACCTTAAAAAGTTAAACCAAGCAAAAAACGATTTTGATAATCAAAAATTGTAATTGATTTTGTAAGGATAATTAACTTTTAGATAGACACTCTGAAGAATCCCACGGAAATAGAAAAATTGAGACAATTTATCTTTTCCTGATAGTTTTCTGGTAAATATCTCCATTCATGGACCTTCAGCTCAATTCCCACCTTCCAACTGTTTAATATTTCTGTTAAATGACCTGAAACGATAACATGAAAGATCACATGGTAAGTCCAATTTCGCCACCGATAGCACTCGTTATTTGGTTGTTCATTCACTCAACTCTAAACCCTGTTGATGGCAGAAAAGTCCGCGCTGACATAGGAATTTGCCGATCTCATGATAATTTTGGTATAAAAACTAAAATATCTTGTATGAATTATCCCAAAGTATTTTGTTGTCCCATCCTGTCTGGACCTAAACCCATCAAAATCTGCTGTACATGGGACGAGTTTTCAAAACATTACTCGTTAGTATGAAAAAAGCTCATTTGGGATCATAATCCGTGAATTTTATCAGCTCTGAGGAAGATATGGAAGAAGTTGAATGTAAGATTAACGATACATTTAATGAAACACAAGTACTTTATATTTCTAAGACAGTTAATCATTACATATGTTTCTGTAAATCTTACCATTTCAATAGACTTTCATTTTAATACATTTTCCGATTATCTTTACAGTTCTGTGATTTTTCAGGTCTCCTTCATGTTTATTTTGAATGTGATATTATTGGTGATTGTCATATGTTTAAGCATCTATGGTTACTATTTGTTTACTATCCTTCCTGAAATAAAGGTTGAGTAAATTCAATTGCGATTCCTTTGCCTGGTTTACACTAAAATTGGTTTTCCAACAAACCATAATTTTAACAAATTGTTCAACTGATCAATTGTCTGAAAGCCAACAATAAATGTTTACAACCGTTTGTCTTGTGATCACTTGATTTAGCATTTTAAATTAACTTGTGTGTTCACAATTTCAAGTAATCATAAAGTTGGCGTCATCATTGATGTAACTGTTAAGTTAAACATATCATTTTGATTTATTGTTGGGTATCAAAAGGATTTACTATGATATTGATCAATAAAGTAAGAAATAAACACGCAAACATCTCAAAGTCCAAAATGATAACAAAGTATTTTATCAATTGCTGTTCAATTATATCTTTCATCAAATTGTAATGATACAATTTTCGAGGATTTACCTTTGATTATCTGAAGGATATTTCTCGTCACATCTTCGTCAAGGTTAAAATACCAGTTAAACAATTAAGCTGATACATAGCAACAAGTGTACGATCATAAATCAATGCTATTAAATCATTTGTTTTGGTAATATTTAAATGTAATTCAATAAGGGATTGTGGTTCAAAGCTTTGCTTCTAATGGTTTTTACATTAAATGTAAGGATTTTGAATTTTTAAGCCAATTGTAGCGACGGATAATTAATTTGATTGAATTTAGTTGAAGCATTTCAAGATACCCTTGAAAGAAAATAGATTTGTAAATAAATTAACACTTAAATTTAATTTAAAGAAATGCTATTACACTCGGTGAATAGGGAACGAAAAAAATATTCATTATTAGCTATTTAGATAATAGGTAGAATTGATTATAAGTTGATTTGTTTGATTTTTGAATTCGATGTCCCAAAATTGAATATGAAATAGAGGAAAACAAGAATCTTAAAACTTGTAAAAGAGACAAACAATGCAATCGATAATGAAGATAAGAAAGCAAACCAACTAGTATATATGTTGGACAATTGATTTGTTGATTTGCTGACTTGTGTCCGAACTAGATGATAAGTAATCAAGTAGATTTCAATATTATTGATAATTTGTAATAGGGTAAAGATTGGCCGCTCAATAAAAGGAAAACGAAAGAGTCAACAAACGAAACTAAAAACTTGAAGTAAATAGATTTTGAATGGATATCGCAGAAGAAAAACCAGGCAATTTGTGGGAATTGGAAAAACAAATAATCAAGCACATAAACTACTAAGGATCAAACAATATATTTAAGGAATTGGTAATCAATAAGCATGATTCTTGATAAAAAGTCCTTCACCGGCTGCAGCACCATCAATACCACCTCCATATTGACCAAGGGATGATAAACTGTTAGCCTATTTAAAGAAACAAGAAAAGGCAAAATATTAGTCAAAATGAAATAAAAATTAATCACATAGACTGACACAATATGACAAGTAATAAGTGGAACGGAAAAATAAACCCCAGAAATAAACGATCAATTGTATGGTTAGAGAAAAGAAAATTGATTAAACCTTGACGATTAACAAAAATAGAAAACCAGAGTAACATGCAGAAAAATTGTTATAATTCGAGAATACGCAAGTAATTCGTGTTAAAACAACAATCCAACAATAATGATGGATAGACGAAACAGAACAAAGAAACAAAAAAATCAAAACATGAGATTTTTTTACCCCTAATAGAAAATGGATAAAAAAGCTCATCTAATATTTATGTGCTGCCACATAATTAGATGAAACCGAAGCCAAACTAGGAATGGAGCCAGCAGCATATTGACCAACACATGCTAAACCATTGGCCTGAATTTTGAGTAACGCAGTAAAATTAATGAATAAAGAAGCAAGATGCGAGTGAAGTATAAAGTAAAAAAATAAAAGGAGAAAAGAAAAAAGAAAGAAAATCGCCTAAAAGTAAAAAATCATCACAAACCTTAGCCCGTTTAAGGAATTCAGCCTGACCAGCCGGTATGTTCTCTTTTTTACCGCTCCAAGCTTTAAGAGCACTGGCCTGTAAAGCCCGACCATAACTGAAGGTGAGACCCCAAGGCTTTTTAGCATCCAATTTGTTGATAGCATTCAAGTTGACGGAAGCTTCCTCCTCTGATTGTCCACCTGAAAGAAAAACGACACCAGGCATTGCGGGTGGAACAGTTCGCTGTAAAGCAGTAACGGTAGCCAAAGCAACTTGTTCAGGAGTAGCTTTGGTAGGACAACTTTGGCCAGAAGTAACCATGTTAGGTTTGAGCAAAGTTCCTTCGAGGTAAACATTGTGATCATTAAGAGCTTTGTAAACAGCGGCTAGAACTTTTTCAGTAACCAATTGACATTTTTCAATTGTATGATCACCATCAGGTAAAATTTCGGGCTCGACGATGGGTACCAAACCAGCTTGCTGACAACAAGTAGCATATCGAGCTAAAACATTGGCATTTTCCAAAATTGCTAAAGGTGATGGTGTATTTTGACCAATTTTGAGGACACACCGCCATTTAGCAAATCGACAACCAGCCGCGTAATATTTTTGACACCGTTTGGTTAAATTATCCAAACCTTGTGTAGTTGTTTCACCTTCAGTTCCTTGAAGATCAACAACACCAGTGTCTACTTTAATTCCAGGAATAATTCCTCTGCTTATCAATAAATCAGGGAATGCAACTCCGTCATCAGTTTTCTGGTAAACAGTTTCATCGAACAGGATAACACCACTAATGAATTTGGGCATATCATCACCGCTAGTAAACAACAATTGACGGTATTGGCGACGATTCTCTTCATTATTTTCGACTCCAATACTCTGCAATCGTTTTCCCATGGTACCAGTGGACTCATCTGCAGCTAAAATACCCTTACCAGGAGCAACGATAGCAGCGGCAGTAGCCTTCAATTCATCGAAAAAAGCCATTTTAATTAGACGATAATAATAAGGGATAGATGATGAAATAATAATAACAGTAAATTAACTATATCAGAGCAAAGGATAACAACAGTTTATAAGCTATACGAGGATCTGATAAAAGAGTTTAAAGTTGCTTCTTCAAAGAGTCCTCAAGAAAGACCTTCAATAAGGACATGATTGTGCTGCATTCTAGTGTAATGAAATGTTAACCAGTGTTACAATGCGGAGAGTTTAAATGCAATTGTAAATATTTCCTTATGTTATTATTTGTAATTGTGAGAAAGTTGATCCAGGTTAAAGTTACAAGGGCAAGAGGTTAAAGGTATAAGGACATTTTTATCAAAGGTTAAATAAACCTAACCACAAGGATAACACAAAGATTAGTGAATCTATGGGAAATAAACATAAAGACCACTTTCAATACTTTCATCTTTATTATAATATTTTAAATCCGAATAAGTAACTTCCTTCCAAAGCAACTTGATTATCAAAACAAAGGTACAAAAAGTTCTCAGGTTAGTATTTAGTAATGGAAAGGGTAACATAAGGTTTTAATATAAGATCTTAGTTCAACCTTTAATATCAAATTCAGCCAATAACCGACTCTTATTATAAATTGGATATGCCTACAACAACCGGAATCAAAGGATTTTTCAAGTTATGAACGAGTTAACTTTTACTTTTAACCCTTTCGATTTTCAGCCTTCAAATCATAATTTTGACCTCCAAAGAGCCTAAACTAACCTTGGTTTGGAGTAAAATTAGGTTAAAGGCACCAAAGGATTGAAAAATTCACCCATTTAGTCTTAACCCTTTCACTAACTTAGAGATTACGGCTGAAATATGGCTGGAAATATGCTAACTTTTGATGGAATTGGCCTTTTCATATTCATTTAGTATAACTAATTATTGGAATTCATCAATTGACTGATTAATGATTGTTTTAAAAAATCTAACATTGAGAATAATTAAATCGAGATAATCAGGCTTGTGTGAGAGCAGTCTAATCTTGATAATTCAGTCATCATTTAATGTTGTCTTATAACTTGTTACTGTTAATCTTTATTTTACGCACGATCGATTGCTTCTTAATTAATATTGTTGGGATTATTTAAGATTTAATTACATTAATAGGTTCAATATATCAATTCTAATAGCATGGTTTGAAAGGGAAAGCTTTAGCCTTATGTTGATACATTTGTGTGAAACCTGATCAAGTAAGG